GAGAGAAATGGTTTCAAAAAAAAGTCCCAAGCCCAGCGTTTTGTCCAAGTATTGCTCACACAGTGCACGCTATCATATGCGACCGCTGCGCTATCACATGAAGAGTGTTTGCCCAGGGCCCAGAGACACGTGTCTTTCCAAATGCCAATGCAGGTAATTGCACTCAATCTCCCCCATTTATTTTAAACGTCTGAAAAGGAGGGTGAACTTGGGACTCAGTTTCTGGGCGGTCCGCAGGCCTTGACAGGTGCGCCGCCGCAGGGCAGATCGGAGGTCGGCCTTCAGCTGGATCAAAATCATGTCAGGCAAGGGTAAACAGAGCAACGTGACATGGGGCATTTTGTGGCCCACCCTACAGCTACCTGGTTTCTTGAAATTAAGAGGCGCTGGCCATGACAATGCTATCCACAGCAAGGGGGGGCCGTGGGAAGGTCACCACCCTGAATGGCCCCCGAGTAGTCTGCTATGCTCCCCTCGTTGTGGCAGGTTTTCGTATATGTAAATAACGTGGTCTTCACCTATCTTCAACACCTACCCGTCAGAGTATGTTACTCGCGGGCGACCCGCTTCCTTGAGCGGAATGGGTGTGGGGGTGGAGGGCTACTTACTTACATGCCTCCTTACTTACTTACTTACTTACTTACTTACTTACTTACTTACTCCCTTACCGACTTTGCTTACTTACCTGCTTACTCACTTACTTGCTTGCTTTGCTTAAATGCCCACCTTACTTGCTTACTTACCTAATTACTTACTTACAAAGTTACTTTCCCTACTTACTTACTGTGCCTACTTGATTCCTTCCTCGCTTGCGCGCTTGCTTTCTGGCTGGCTCACACGCCTACGGGTTAGCGGCCTTGGTCGTTTCTTTTTTTTGGCGGGGGGGAGGCGCGCTACGCGCCAGAGTATGTTCCCTACGGACGACTAGGTTAGCTACTTACTTGTTGACTTATTTACTTACTTACTTACTTGCGTACTGACTTTTCTGGCTTACCTACTTACTCTCTTACGTGCATGCTTGCTTTTCTTGAATGCCCACGTTGCTTACTCACTTACTTACTTACTTACTTACTTAGTTTACGTTACTTCAACTTTAACTTTACCTTTACTTTACTTACTTACTCGCTTGCTTTCTAGCTTGCGCAACCAATGCGCAGTTTCCTCCAGATTCAAACGCAGCAGCGTCAGTTCTGCCATCAGGCAAAGACGGCCGCGCCGTCTGTCTGCTCCGTTGCTTCAGCTGGAGACGCGGCGGGCCCCCCGTCAGACCGCCTGATCCCAAAAGAGGGGTCGCTCCATCCTGGAAGGCCTGGTTCGTGAATTGAGAGAAAGGCTGGACAACGCAGAAGGACGCATGACTACACATAAGACGCAGGCCGGCCCCCGATGCGAAGCATGAATGATGAAGCCATTGGATGGAGGAAGCGTCACAAGGATAGCGCAGTTGCAGAAACGGAGCAAGCGTCGCCTATCTTGAATCGGGAATCCGAGTTGCAAGCCAAGGCAAGCTGAGAGATCGTGGAGTGGAGATCAATGACGGAAGATAGAGAAAATAATTTGGCTCGATGCGGAACAGCTCCGTCATGGAGCTTACCCCGCGGCCAACGAAATGGGGGGGCGGTTTGGGATGATTCGCTTTAATGCACCTCTTACCGAGAATACTAAAAGGTGGCATCCACACGATGGGGCCGGTTTTTGGATTTGCTCGACAAGTTTCGGTGTGTGTGTGTGTGCTTCTGTTGGCTTCTCGTAGAGGAAGAACAACTTCCAAGGGTCTCCATTTTGAAACATTTCAGATGTGTGTGTGTGTGTGTCAGTTTCTCAGAAGGCGCTCGTGCTGGGATTTTTGCTGAAGGAAACCAAAAGAATGCTACCCGTGTCCGGGCCATCCATTTGTAGACAAACCCTGGCGTCGCCTATGGCTAAGCATCCTTGGACGAATCTCAATTTTGAGACCTTCTGTTGGGCGACGACGGTCGAAATCATTGCTGACCACCAGCGGCTTTTGACATTGAAGCCACCGATCAAACTGGGACAACCATTCCCGAGCCCTGCCCTGCGGAGTCAGGTGTTCACGGACCGTTTTGCGCCTGTGGCAAAGGTAACACTAACAACCAAACAAACGAATATATTGAAGCGGGGGGGACCCTTCACAATCTCTTGATTTGGGTGAAAGCGGGCCAAACAGAAATCACGCCGGTCATCCGCACATACTCCCCCGTTGGGCCCGCATCCTTGATTCCATCCGCGTAATGCATGGAACAGCGGAAGTGTTCTTACCCCGTGGTCGAGGCTCATACAAGCGAGGTTTGGCCTTTCTTCTGGGGTTGGTCATCGCAGGGGCTGCCTCGAATCTCTTCTCTGAAAAACTTCTAATGGGAATTCTGATGGGGATGCCGCACTTTCCGTTTCAACACGACAGTGATCTTTGTCTTGCCCGCAATGCCCTCTAACAAGCCAAAGTCAGGAGACGGGCGTCCACCTCCAGTCTCGACATCTG